CCCTGTGGTCCTCCACCCCACTGGGTCCCCCTACAGGAGGCAGAAGGTCACAACAGAGCACAGGAGGGATGCCCATTGAGGATAAGACTTATCTTCCTCAACATTGCTGTGTCTTTTATCCACTCCTAGGGTAATTTGGAGGGTGAAGTCTTCCTCTACTTCCTATCATTTCCTATTATACTCAGCTCTTGATAATCATTTAGTATCAATAATCTTTACAGGATGGATAACAAGAAATAGCTTGTAAGAAGAGACACACATAAATACATTTATGAGATTTATGTGTGATCAGCTCTCTAACTTGGTGTGTTCTTAAAAATTGATTTCAGCACATCTCCTAATTTCCAAGTAGAGTAAAAAATAAAAATAGTTATTTGTACCAGAACCAGGAGATAAGAATAGTCCCAGAGGCTCCTGAGAGTTAGATAGTGCTTGTGGGGGAAGGGAAACTTGATCTAGACTTCAAATGGAAGAAGGGATTTAGTTGAAGAGGGAGAAGGGGGCACCAGGAAGCAATAACTGCCGTAAGTCTCATGAAGCACTAGAACTGTAGCCTCCAGAAGGACATTGGACCTTTTATCCCACTTTCCTTATTTTTATTGAGTTAGCAGAAAACTTCCCATCAGATTCATCTAGCTCATCTCAAAGTTCTTCTTTCCCCAAATCACAATGGGTGTCAATTTGTATCCCCTTCCTTGATCCTTGCTGAACACTGGAAATGACAAGGGAGGGTGAGTGGTCTGAAGTGGCTAGTGCTTTTGTTAGAATCCTGTGTCCTCCCTAGGCTATCAGCTCCTGGACCTCACTGGCACAGTGTTTATCTCCTGCAGATGACAAGATGTTACCTGAAGAGCAGAGGATGACTTCACCCTCCAAACTAGGAGTAACTAACTATATTGTTTTAACCAATGCAAGAAGAATAGGCTGCTCGGCTTGGCAAAAGAACATCAAATTTCATCTTCCACAGTATTTCTGAAGCAGCTGCAGTCTATAATAAGTTGAATGTCTTCTAGCTTTCACCTTCAAGGGCAGTCATTAGCACATATATTCTCCTGGAAATGAACTCAGGGAATCTTGAGGAAGCCAGGGAGTTTAGAAGGAATTTTCACAGTTCCAATTCCCTACAGCTGGCAATAACCATATTGTACTTAAAACAAGAATTGGAACTTTAATCTCTTTCCATATGCAGCATAACTGTGTCTATCTGCTTTATTTTCTATGCTGCATTAGAGAAATCTAACACATTAGACATGGGGGCTTAGAGCAGGAATGACTGTGGAAAAGAAAACTATGCTTGGGTGATTTACTTACCAGGCAGGCTTTCAAAAGACCAAGGACTAGTCCAAGAAAGGCATCCAGGATGGAGCCAGTTAAAATGGCAGCTTTTGGAGACCTGGCTTGGACTCCTGCCTTTACCCCCATCAACTGTGTGATCATACACAAAAGTGAGTATTATTAGGCCCTCAAGGACCAGATAAACCTTAGAATCTTGGAGAAGTCTATAATTTTTTGGATGTCTCTGTCTATTCTAGATAAAATTATAAGACTGTCCAATCATTTTCTCTAGTAAAGCATAACTGAGAAGTTTTACGTTATGAAAATTCTGATGATGTTTTCATATTTTATCTTCCAGCAAAAACCCTTAAGCTTGTAGAATTCCAACATGGGTAAATAAACAAGAGAGAGATAGAGGAGGTGTCCTTTGTATTAAAATTCTATCATGGCATTATTGTTAATAATGATTTAAAGACAAATACTGAAGTATTTATAGATGAAAAGATTCAATGTCTGGAGAGGGTATGTAGATGAAATAGGACTTGCTGAGCACTCATCAGTATTAATATTGTTATTGAGCACATGGGTGTACTTTTTACTATTCTAACAAGCTTGGTTTATGCTTGAGAATATTCATGATCATTTTTAAAATTCGTACCATGCTATAGATAAGACCCAAACATACATGAAGGGCAGACCATAGTGCCACTTGAACTTCCTCTTTTCTTTACTGGCACCTTATTGTAAACATTGACAGATTAAACAATTAGAGGCAAATCAGACTTCAGAGTTTAAAACTTGTTGCAAAAGTTCCATAATATCTTTCAGTCCAAAGTGTTAACGATGAGCCTCAATCAACCACCTTTGTTTATTTTGTTTTATGTGAACCACTATCGGCAGCAGCAATGATGTCCATCCAGAAAACAAAGGTATTTGATGCTAGCCAAAAAAAGTGTTCTGTATTAAAACAAAGTATAGAGCCAGCAGGTTGCTATTTGCAGTAGTAATGATAGTCCTGTCATTAGTATGGCCATTGTCTTTGTGCTTTGATATTAGAACGAACTTGTTAGGGACAGTTCAACTACTTAGAATCTCTTGGTTTCACACACATTTTATGATGTTTAAAATCCTGGGGATGACTTCAGCTATAAGCAAAACATCAGTCTGAATCCAATTTACCAATTTTCCTGGGAGCCACAATTAGTCAGAGCTCTCCTTCATGCCTTAGGGAGCGAGCTGTTTACCAAGGATGACAGAGGGAACAGTTTGTACATTAGCTTCTTGTTGAGGCAAAGTCCTTTTCTGGCTGATTGTCCCTAACCAAATATTGAGGGGCTGCCGATGATTACTACATTTATTTGCATTTCCCTCCAAAGAACAGGTTCAAGTTTCACCTTTTCCATTAAGAAGCCATTGAAAAATTTAGCCTCCATGAATTTTTTTTTTTTTTTTTTTTTTGGACATTCATGCCTTTGGAGAGTCTTAGGATGGGTTGGGGTTGTAGTGCAATGACAGAGTGAGTGTGTAGCATGCATGAGGCCCTGGGTTCAATCCCCAGCATATTTAAAAAAAAAAATCTGAGAATCCATGCACACCCAGGCTACACAAATAAATGTGTGTGTTTTTTTGTTGTTGTTTTTACAAATTATCCTTGAAATTTTATACATTAATTTATCCATAAATCAGTGGAAATTTATGTATCTATGTATACACACAAATATGTACACACAGGCACATTAAGCCATACAGTGTTCAATGAATATTTGTGACTGATGTAAATAAACAGATTTCTTAGTGGAATAAAAAAAAATAAAACATTGTGAACAAAATTTACCATGTAGAACTAGAAGTCTGTTTTTATCTAGTAATCTAATGCTGGTTGTAGCTCCAGTATGGAAACAAAAATAATGTCCAGAGGTCTAAGCAGGTTCATATACTGACAACTGAAATGAAGGGCAGACCATAGTGCCACTTGCACTATGGCTGAACAGAGCTGGAGTAACAAACCATGTAAAAACAGTATTACTTCCAGAATGCTTACACTGGCCTCAGGTTGTCTCCATAGTCTTTGGGAAAGCCTACTAGCAAATTCTTGGCCCATTCTTGTCAATTCTACTGACCTTATGAGTGGCAATAATGTCATGTAGTCAAATACTAGCCCCCTCCTCTATTATGAGACTTAGGAAAAGCTGTTGTGGAGTTTGAATCCTTAGCTGTTTTGCCAGTGATTCTTAGTCACGTTCTTCCCAATAATCCCGTATTTAAATGTGTTAATAGTGAAGCAGAGCAGGGTGTCCGGGAAGTGCCTTATCATCACTTTACCCAAGTTTATGGTGTTCGTGCCAAGTTTTCAATGAAAAGTGGCTTGGTGATGTAAAAAGTTGAATGTTTGCCATGACATTTAGTTCAACAGTCTCAATTAATTGGTTAAGAAAACCTTTCTTATCTTCCAGAAGAGGTGACTACTTGAAAGATAAATTCCTTAGCACAGGGTTTACTTAGAGCTGATCTCTATCTCCTTCTATTACTTTTAATGGACTTGTAGCTTACAAAGACTTACTTGAATTTTCTTCCAAAACTAAGTAAGAATGAACATGTTATTGATTCTACAGCAGAACACTAGGGAACTACTAAAATTGCATAAAGCATAGAGTTCAAGTACATGGTGTCTGACTGTCCATTTCTGTGTATAGAATCATAACCGAAGGCCATTGATATTTGAGATAATTAATAAAGTCAAAAATTTCAGAGGGAGTGCATTTAGACTTGCTTGGGGACTCTGTGAACTAGATATTCTTAAAGTCATTTAGTTTATAATATGCAAATTTAGGTTGTAATTATACAACTCATATTTTTAACAAAGATTGAACAAAATTCTCTTTTTATTTTTACAAAATTCTAAAATCAAGTGATTTCACAATTTTTACTTCACATTTCCCCTTTCAAGGTGATAGCAAAAATTATTTTTGAGAAAGCATTCCAAGATATCACCAGTTTTATCAGTCTTTATAACTCCTTTATTAATTTTTGATTCAGTTTTTCATTGATACAATTAATTTATACTGAATGTCTGTTGTTCATCGAAGGATTTATAAGCAAAGGCTTCAGAAGGAAAGGACAGGTACTAGTATAAGGAGGGTTGTATGAGCGAAAAATTATCTTATAAATTACATTAATAGTAAGAGAAGATGATTTTAAAGTAAGTTTCACTTCTTTATGCAGCATCTGTAACTAGAGGGTCTAAAATAGGAGTGGTGAAAACATAACCAGGATGCTCTAGATGCCGTGGTATACCTCCAACATCCCTCTTCACAACTGAGGCACTTATTCCCAATTTCTGGAGATATTACCTGCAGACAGCTCAGAGCTAGGCCTCGCTCCAGAAGAGATCCACTATTGAAGGGCCTCATTATGCCCCTTCCTAGGGTTAGCCCTCATTCAATGACTAGCTCAGTAGGACACCACTAGTCTTAGACCTGGTTCCCTGGAAACAGTCTTCAATATGGATATGGAAATTTGCATTCAGAGATGTAATAAAGAGTGTTCATTGGATAAACAGGAAGGGAGTAGGATTGGGCAGAGGGTAAGTTTTCATCATGATCCTTAATGTAATTTAAAGGATCTCAAATAATCCATGGAGATGTCTGAAGCTGAAACTGGATCGTCAGAATTGCCCCCAAATCGTGAAAATTTCATGAGCTCTTGTACGACTGTCCCCTTCTCAGGTCACCCCTGGGCCACATGGAGGACCCTTAAGATGAGCTGACAAAGAAAGAAACTGAGGAGTTGGCAGAGAGCAGCTGCTGCACACAGCTGTTGCTGATGGATGGTCCTGAAAGACAGTGATGTGGGAAGACCCACGTCTTTGGAAAAAGAAGCAGCCTAAGGTAAGACTACACATGGACTCATGGCCAAGGACAAGTAGCTTGGACTACTTGGTTTTAGATCTGAAAGGAGAGATACTGGAATGTTAGACTTCACTTACCATCACTCCCAGTGAATAAGACTTAATTTTTCTCATCCCCACAACTCTACAACAGGGACCAAAAATCCTATCATCTAGGGTGAGGCCACTAGGGAGCTTTGCAAAGTCCCATTAAGCTTTGAATTACTCTGTCACCCAATTTCTTTACGTTCTTTGTGCCACGAAACTCGCAGGCAAGAAAGAAGCCGCCTTCCTGGCAGAGATGGGAAGGTTGTGTTTGCACCAAGGGCTGGAGGCAAGCAATATATCACCTAATAAGCCAATAAGATCAGAAGAGTTGCTAGTCAAGGGCAAAAGAGAAGCTAGAATGGATAGAAGATGATGGATAGCCCCGTGGCCCTCAAACTAGCTATTGTCATAGGGACTATACTAAATGTTGCAATTTTTCCGAGAAAAAGAGACAAATAAGAATCCTTGAGGATCTGTTCCTAGATGGATTCAACTTATACAAACCAAGAGGATCTGACCATCACACACAGTGAAGCAAAACCTGTTGCAGTGTGTGCAGTACAGAATACTCACCCCCACATTGTTTAGGTTGAAGAGAGCTACCTTGCCCAGCATTATGGCCCATTTGCAGGAGCAGTCTATGTCTATTGAGTGATGGGGAAGTCCACAGGTCCTTGGCCCACTTGCCTCCACTGGGGACAAGCAGAGGTGCTTCTAAGGGTCTCTACTGCTTTAGGGGGCTCTCTGAGATGATTGAGTTCTTGGTTTCAACTGCATCACAATTTAATATTTTCCTCTGCCTACTCCTGCTTTTCTCATTCCTTCATAGGCCTAATTTCAGGAAGAACTTCCCAATAAGTCTCTACACACAAGTGTCCATCTTAGAATCTGCTTCAGACTTTAGAACATCTCTAATCCCACCACTATTACCAGTACAATTTAGGATTACTCCTACAAAAGTTTAACAATTATGAAAATATATTTGTTTGAAAAGTTGAACATTCTCAAAGCAAATTAAGCAAAATTCTTTGAGCAAAATTCTCAAAGGAAAGTTAAACACTTCTTTTCTTAATACATGCTTGTAGTTACTTAATAGTAATGTCTAACATTTAATGAGTGCCACAGATGTGGCAGCAAGAACTTTGCATACATTCTCATATGATCCTTACAACTCCATAAAGGGGTGTTATTAATAGGCTCCTTATACAGAAAAGTAGGCTGAGATATTAAAAAGTTAAATAAGTTACCAAGTCACACAAGATGTAAATAGCAGCTGAGATTTAAGCAATGGACTCCCAAACCCAAGTTCTTAGACCACTACTTCCCTACTACTCTATCCTGTATGAAGTAGCACTGTGGTTTCATGAACTTTAAAAAAATCTCATTATAATAGTCTGCTTTAATTTGCCTGGTGTTGTTTGATGGGAGAGAGCTCAGGATGTAACACTGTGTATCTTCTTTGTCCAAATGGACTACGTTTACCCTTTCTTTGTGGCAGCTCCTTTCTTCTTTCTTTTTTCCTACCTGAACAGAACAATCATGATTACACAGGGGTTACAGCGTTTTCTCAGTCCTGGTTGAGATTTGAAACTATCCACTTATACTTTCATCTTTTAAGAAGCCTCATATGCACTATCATAGGCTCATTTTACCTTAGCAAATGTATAGCTTTGTTTCTAGTCCGTAATTCTATGCAGGATCACAGTGACATCTTTTCAAGCATATTTAGTGCATTCAGCAATGCAATATCAAGTAGGAGGGGTAGATACATGTTATCAGTGAAATGTTTTCATTTTTAACATTTTCTTTAGTTATGTTTTCTACTTTTTTTTCCACATCTAATGATAATGCCAACTGCCACCCAGTTGCATATACATACTACATTTCTAACACGTATTTTTCCAAAATGTGTTTTCTTACAGACAAACGTGGCTTTTGCTTTATTTTTAGTATTGCTCCAAAATCCTCACCATGAGTATGGAGAAGAGTAGAGAAAGCTCAAAGTGCAATGGACATTGTACATCTGGACTGTCCCCAAGTCAAAAGCAAGATGGTCTCCACTCTGACCAATTTTCAGTTGAATCTTTTCTTCCATGACAGCTGATTTCTGAACAATAGATGGAAACTCAGCCTTGGATTCTATATCTTTGTGGGCTCTATTGTGAAAATGCTTTCTACCATCAGAGGCTCTGATAGCTGCCCTCTCCCTCCTGGAATGCATCACAGCCTGGTAGCACTCAGAGCTTTTAGCTTGTTAGTGCAAATCAGCTTTTATTGCCTGCATTGAGAGAAGAGGACAGCAAAATCGCACATCCATACATTATTTTAGCTATTTGTAAGAGGTTAAAAAAGAGGAATGGAGGCAAAAGCAGCAGTATTTTCTGAGGGCTTAAGAAATTGCTTTGAAACGCACATGCACACACACATATGCACGCACACACACAGGCATACACGGCATACCCGCCAGCTGCTAGTGGCTCCTGATAGCACACCAAAGACAGACTAAACGTTCGCTGAGTGATTTACTGTCAACATGGGATGATGTCTGACATGCACTGTTTTTATGTTTTCCCGTTTCCCATATGAAATATGTGGAACTTTTAAAGTTGTTTGACATCAGAAACCTCCATCGCTGCTCTGACCACCCAGACCCTGCAGACAGGAAGTGGCAAGGGGTGGTAAAGAATTACCAATAAATTGGGAGTTGAGAAGCAAGAGTGATGAGTGAGGCAAGTGTTGATATTAGAAACTTTGATTTGAGGGTTTATAAAGGTAACTGAATGTGACATTCAGTCATCTGGATTCTGAAATGGGTGAGTGCAAGGATTACAGATGATAGCTTTTAGTGAAGGGCAAAATCTTTTAAATCTTTTATGGCTGAAGTTTCAAGGTGAAGTCAAAACTAGATTAGAGGATAATCAATACTCCAAGACTTACTAGGAGGTTTAGAACATTTTTACTCAGAATGCCTATCTTACTTAAGAAATGGCTTTGGGAAATGGTCTCATTGTAGAGACTGAAAAGGGGATTTATTAAGGTGATAATAGGAAGATATACTTCAGGAATACAAAATGATGTGTTATAAGCATTTCATGCCTTCCTATAAAATATAGCCAAAATAATTATCTGTATGTAATTATGGCATTTCTGATGTGCACATTCCTAAAATTTCCATTGAATAAATCTGCCTTTATCAGCTTTTCTCACACAAATTAGAGGATAAGCCTATTACAATATACATAGAACTGACACTTTTCTTTTGGCCCAAGGTCTTGATGATATATTCTCTAGGCCATGACGGGAGCAAATTGGTATCATTCTTATATTTGAATCTTTAAGGAACTTGTGCAAAAAGTGGATTTGAATTAAATCTGCTCTCTGCAAAATCTTGGCTTAGTTTTTCATCTGAAAATTAATTACAGGTGAACCTATCATTATAGCTAAAACGCCATGCAGTTGTCTATTTGCTCAACAACATGTATAAAATCTGTACCAGATGCGAGGGACAACTTTGCATGTAAATATTTCCTAAAACTTCCTACAGCTTGCTACACATTTCTTCTCTACAGACCGTCATTTTCAATCATACTTAAGTGATAAATTCTAAATGTCCTCATTTCCCACAACCAACTGTCGAAACCTCCCTGTGTCTGCAACCATCTTGACCTCATTCTTGTTACTGAGGAAATATCCTCCATCATCACAGCTCAAACACTACACCTGCTGTAGCTTTGCACCTCTTTCTTAATTACACCATCACACTGTCCCTCTGCCTTTCCTTCCCCATTAGCAACAAACATACATCTTTTTAAAAATTAATTCACTCATTTATTTTATAGTAGAATGCATTTTGACATATTATACACCAATGGAGTACAACTTCTCATTTGTATGGCTGTACATGGTGCAGAGTCACTCCAGGAGTGTAATCATACATGTATATAGGGTAATAACGTCTGTCTCATTCTACTGTCCTTCCCTTCCCCACAACTCCTTCCTCCCCACATTCCCCTCTACACAAACCAAAGTTTCTTCATGCTTTTTTCTATCCCTCCACCCCACTATGCATCAGCATCTGGTTACCAGGGAAAACATCTGGCTTTTGGTTTTGGGGGATTGGCTTATTTTACTCAGCATGATATTCTCTAGTTCCATCCACTTACCTGCAAATGTCATCATTTCCTTCTTCTTTAAAGCTGAGTCATATTCCATTGTGTATATGTACCACATTTTCTTTATCCATTCATCTGTCAAGGGGCATCTAGGTTGGTTCCATAGTTTAGCTATTGTGAATTGAAACTTGCACCTTTACCCTTCAGGAAGAATGTGTCCTTAGTCATAGTCCTCTCCAGACAGTTATCTCCCTCTTAATCTAATCCCCTTTATCATACAACTTTTCAAGATCTTTTTATACCTGCCATCTCCAGTTTCCCATGTCACATTTTCTCCTCATTCTACTTCCGTTTCCCTCGTCACTTCTCTGTGAAGCTACTTTAAGTCTGCCATCCATGTCTCTACTTTTAAAGGAAGCCTTCTTTTCTTTTCTAATTCCATCTGGCTTTCTGCAACACTCCGTGAGGTAGACCACTCCCTTCTTGAAATCTCATCCATCCCTGGCTTCCAGCATACTCATTGTCTCCTGGTTTTTCTTTCTTGACCTCATGTTCTGAGGTCTTTTCTGATTTTGTCTTGTTCTGTCTTGTTCTGATGGTCCCATAGCTCTGCCTGGGCTCTTGATACTTCTCTCACTTTCATCCATGACCTCATCTTTTCCTATGGCTTGAAATATCTTATTTACCTCTGGCCCAAACTTTTATTCTCAGCTCCAGATTCAAATATCCAATTAGAGCTTGACCTCTCCAGTGGGAATGCTCACGTGCATCTCCACCTAAACAGATCAAAATAGATTCCTTGATCACTGCCTACCCAGCTCACCCTCCACACCATCCACCC